CCTAGCTCATGGAATTTGCGAAGGAATGTGGCTAAGAAGACTCCTAGAAGAACTACAACTCCCAATCAAGACTCCTATGGAACTGTTGTGTGACAATCAAGCAGCCATCAATATTTCGAAGAATCCAGTCCTTCATGATCGCACCAAGCACGTGGAAATAGACCGTCAAGTTATCAAAGTAAAGATAGAGGATGGAATTGTGGAAGTTGTCTACACGCCCACACGACAACAAACTGCAGACGTGTTCACCAAAGCCATTGCAAGAACTCACTTCGATACCCTACTATCCAAGCTGGGAATGATTGACATACATTCTCCAGCTTGAGGGGGAGTGTGGAAAGTCATTAGAATAGGCTAATTGTATAGCTGTAGTTTCCTATTTTGTAGGGATTTGATTTGTTTCCTGATTTTTCTAGATAAGGAGTTACCTAATATAGGGCTGAAATCAGGGGATTTAAAACCGGCTGTGGTTATCCCTAATTGTATATAAATAGTGGCTGTACAGAATTATTTTCTAGAATAATAAGAATTATTCTTTTTCCTAAAAACCTAAATCCGGCTCTAAGAATTCTTTAGATACAGTGGTTTCGGTCTTCGCAAACTGGCAACCATTACGAGGCTTTAATTGCTTTGCGACAAGACTCATCGGTGGCGGAGTTTCGTGAGAAATTTGAGCTGCTCTCATCCCCTTTGAGAGAAGCCAACGAAGAATCTCATGGGAGCCTTCTCGAATGGTCTGGCCGAGGAGATCAAGGCGGAAGTCAGAATGGTGAAGCCTGCCTCTCTCGTCCAGCTGATGGACTTGGCCCAAAAAGTTGAGGAAAAGAATTGGGCCCTTGAACGGGCTCACATGAAGCGGGCTTTAAGACCCAACCCGAGTAAGGAGGAAACTGGTTTTTTCAAAGATTATAATTGATTAAAGGGGTCTGTTGCGGGAGGTGGTCCTTCTGTGAGTGGTTCCAGCTGGACACCACCAAGACCGACTGAAGGAAAAAAGACAGCGCCGGTGATGACACGCAGCAACTCTCTTCAATCCAACGTGTCTGTCAACAAAGAACCTATTATTGCTCCATCTCAGTTTGTTAGGAAGAGTGAGAATTTCAGGAGGATGATTTCAGATGCCGAAATGCAGCAACGGCGGGAGCGGGGTTTATGCTTCCGATGTGAAGAAAAGTGGCGAGTCAGTCACGTTTGTAAAAATCCCCAGCTCCAAGTTCTTATTGCGGCCTAGGATGAAGAGGCCGTGGCTGAAGAGGACATCGAGCAACTGTTGACGCAGGAAGAAGAACCCTTGGAGCTCTCCATGAATTCAATTGTCGAGATTCCGTCCATTAATACCATGAAAGTGAAAGGTACGATCTTGAGCAGAGAAGCGGTTATTTTAATTGCTTCAAGGGCTTCTCATAATTTCATTTCTCGAGGAATTGTTGAGGAACTAAAACTTCCAATAGATGGTACACCTAGTTTCGGTATAATGGTTGGGAATGGCTACAAAGTGGCTGGGCAAGGGGTGTGCCGCCAAGTGGAGGTTAGTTTACAAGGGTTGCAGATAATACAAGATTTCTTCCCTATCGAGCTTGGTAGTGCCGATGTTATTTTAGGAATTAGTTGGCTTGGCATGTTAGGTGAAATACGTGCCAATTGGAAGAAATTAACTATGCAGTTCGACTGGCAAGGCAAACGAGTTTTACTTCAAGGCGACCCCTCCTTATCCAAAACATTAGTGTCTCTCAAAGCAATGCTTAAAGCAATTCAAGAAGAGGGCCAGGGGTTTTTGGTGGAATTTGGGCAAGTGTCCATTTTGGACCAGTCGGCTGGAAAAGTCGAGGATGCTGCTTTGGAGGAGTTGCTTACAGAATTTCATTCGGTTTTTGAACCTCCGGCAAGCCTTCCTCCTTCACGGTTTCATGATCATACAATTCCACTTAAGGAGGGGGCGGATCCTCCGAATTGCGACCATATCGTTTTCCTCAATTCTCAAAAGAATGAGATTGAACGAATTGTGAAAGAAATTATGGCAGCGAGAATCATTAAGCATAGTAACAGCCCGTTTTCTAGTCCGGTATTGTTGGTCAAGAAGAAATCCAGAGAGTGGCGCTTTTGCGTGGACTATCGCGCACTAAACAAACTTACCGTTCCTGATCGGTTTCCGATCCCCGCTATAGATGAATTGTTGGATGAGCTTGGGGGTCTTCTTTTCCAAGTTGGATTTGAAGTCCGGCTACCATCAAATTAGGGTGCGTGAGGAGGATACACCGAAAACAGCTTTTCAAATTCACGTCGGTCATTACGAGTTCCTGGTTATGCCTTTCGGCTTAACAAACACCCCGGCCACCTTTCAATCCTTAATGAACGAGGTTTTCCGACCTCACTTACGGCAGTTTGTCCTGATTTTCTTCGATGATATCCTTGTCTACAGTAAGGATTGGACTTCCCATATGCAGCACCTGCAATGTGTTTTTGCCTTGCTACAACAACACCAGTTGGTGGCCAACACGAAAAAGTGTGTTTTTGGGCAACGTCGGGTGGAATATTTAGGCCATATCATCACTGACACTGGTGTTCAAGCGGATCCGGCAAAAATTACCGCCATGGTTGATTGGCCCGTGCCCAAGACAGTTCGGGATCTACGGTTACAAACGTTTTGTGAAGGATTATGGGAAGGTGGCTAAGCCTCTAACACGTCTCCTTAAAAAAGATGCTTTTTTGTGGACTTCTGAAGCGCATGGCGCTTTTGAGGGGTTAAAACATCGGATGGTCACTATTCCAGTGCTCGCTTTACCGGATTTCACTAAAACCTTTATCATCGAGACTGATGCTTCGAGACACGGGTTGGAGGCCGTTTTGATGCAGGACAATAGGCCAATTGCTTTTATCAGCCAATCACTTTCTAATCGAGGTCGCGCCAAATCTGTGTATGAATGCGAGCTAATGACGGTCGTCTTGGCCACGAAAAAGTGGCGTCATTATCTTTAGGGAAGACACTTTATTGTGAGAATGGATCAATAGAACTTGCGGTTTCTTCTTGAACAGCAAGTTATGAATGAGGCTCAACAACGGTGGATTTGTAAACTCATTGGTTTGGATTTTGAAATTCAGTATAAACCGGGGAGGGATAACTGTGTAGCAGATGCCTTGTCCAGAAAGCATGAGGACCCCATTTGCAAGTGCTTTCAGTTGTGCACACACAGGAGTTGGAAGCTATTGAGGAGGTAGTGCAAAAGGATGATAAGTTGCGATTGATTATTCAAGGCCTCTTGGTCGACCCTCAATTCAAAGTCGATTATCAGCTCAAAGGGGGCCGCCTCTATTACAAAAACAAGTTGGTGTTACCACAGCATTCTCCCTTAATCCCAAAGTTTTTTCGAGAGTTTCACTCATCAGTTATGGGAAGACATTCTGGTTTCTTTCGCACTTATAAGCGTTTGGCGGATGTCTTATTTTGGGAGGGTATGAAGCGTGATATTTAGCGCTTGGTCGCAGAGTGCGACATCTACCAGCGGGTGAAGTATGATGCCCTTAAGCCGGCCGGATTGTTACAACCCTTGCCAATTCCGGAGCAAGTTTAGGATGATGTCTCTTTAGACTTTATTGGGGGCTTGCCTAAGGCCTTGGGACGTGATACAATCATGGTGGTGGTGGATCGTCTCACCAAATATGTGCATTTTTTCTCGCTATCTCATCCTTTTACAGCTAGGGAAGAAGCGGACGTTTTTGTGAACGAAGTAGTCCGTTTGCATGGTTTTCCGCGCTCCATTGTTTCGAACAGGGATCGAGTGTTCATCAGTCACTTTTGGAAGGAATTGTTCCGCCTGGCCGGTACCAAGCTTCGCATGAGCTCCGTTTATCATCCACAAACAGATGGCCAGACGGAGGTGGTTAACCGGAGTTTGGAGGATTATTTGAGGTGTTTTTGTGGGTAACAAACCACGTCTGTGGCCTAATTGGTTGGGGTGGGCCGAGATTTGGTTCAATACTACCTTCCATAGCTCGGCTGGCATGACGCCCTTTCGTGATTTGTATGGCCGTGAGGCACCTATTCTGTTCCGTTGGGAGGAGGATAGCTCAGTTGTGGAAGCTGTTAATCATCAGTTGCGTGATCGGAATGACATACTGCGGGAGTTGAAGGAGAAATTGACCATTGCCCAACATCGGATGAAGTTGTATGCTGACAAGAAGCGACAGGATGTCCAATTTAGGGTAGGGGATTGGGTTTTACCTGAAGCTCCAGCCCTACCGTCTACGGTCGCTGGCTCGTCAGCGCAATGAGAAGTTGAGGCCTCATTTTTACGGGCCATTTCAGGTGATGGAGCGGGTTGGCGAGGTTGCGTATCGTCTCTAGCTTCCTTCTTTTGCGCGCATTCATGATGTATTCCATGTGTCCCAGCTGCGGAAAGTGCTACAGTCATCTACTCCCGTGCAGCAGTTACCGGCTACTTTTACAGAGGACATGGGACTGGCAGTTGAACCCGCGGCACTGCTGCAATCTAGGAAGCTTTTGGATGGTTCGATTGAGCACCTGGTTCAATGGAAGGATCTTCCTGAATGTGACAGCACTTAGGAGTTGTGGGAGTTGTTGTCTGCTCAGTTTCCTCACTTGAACCTTGAGGACAAGGTTCTTGCGCATTGGGGGGGTGATGATGAGAATCGGGGATTGCTGGTCTATAGTAGAAGGAAGAACCGTTAGCTATTAGTGGCTGACATGGAGGTGGTTTACTGTGGAATCTTATTGAGAAAGCTTTCAGCAGTCTTGCTGGGGAAGCTTCTTTAGTAATAACTGAAATTGGTTAGTTGGTTAGATTTGTTAGTGTGTTAGCAGGGGAGCCTATAAATAAGTTCGGGCTCGAGAGTTTAGGGGCTTTTGGAATGTGTATAGTTTAGTGAGGACAGTAGGTGATCTCTCGGAAATCACCATTGTTGTAGGTATCGATTGCAGTTGAATGAAATTCATATTCTTTTGATTCTGTTCTTGCTGATTAGTAGAGGTTTCTATCACTTACCTGCTCTGCAATGAATGTGATGCCACCATGATTAACCATTTCATAGGTTTCACCAAGTATTGGATTAAATGGCTTCCATGGTCGTTCAAAGCAATAATAAACTGATATAAACCATGAAGCTGCAATCAACAATTTTTAGGTCAGTCACGGTAAATGCACGTTTAAACAGATATAGCAAGTGAGCAAAAGAGAGGTATTCTTACAAGCATACACCAATCTCATATAAGGATCCTCACATTCATCTGCCAGATCTAACAGGTAAGAGTACTCCATCACCTGTGGAAAAAAGTTTTATGAGATCATTGGGCAAAATAAGCTCAATAAAGAAAAGCTCACCTCCAATTACAACCAACACTAACCTCTGACATTCTCTGCAGCATAGACATTGGCTCGAAAATAAGTACCGGTAGAGTAACCATTGATGTGACATCAGATCCTATATACTTCTGCATCATCTTCCAGTAACTATCTCGATCCTAAGAAAACAAGAATAACTTGATAATTGAGTATGAAATAGATAACTAGCAAGTATTAAACTGAAAATTACAAGAACATAAAATAAGAAGTTAAGAATTTTGGTGATATACTAAAAAAAGTATTTGGATATCCTTGTATAAAATGTCTTTGTTTTAGCTGTGAAAAGAATTCGAATTAAAATTTAGAAAATCAATTAAATATTGGTAGGTATTGGACTAGGCCAGGTCTACTATGTAATAAACAATTTTAGTTTCTATCGCAAACCACAATAAGCATATCAAACTTCAAACCATAACTGTATAGTGTATAGTACTTCAAAAAAAATTCATTTTTTTTCCTGAGGAAATATATTTCGTATACAAGAAAAATGCGAAAGCAGGAAATCACCTCCTGTTTCCATCTTCCTTTCCTTGCTTCCTCTTCACCATCTTCTGTACCTCCTTCTGGGTTAATGACTTCAAGCCCTTCATAACCCAACAAACTGGGTATCAAAAGAAAAAAAAAAGAGCAGATCGTCAAAACACAATCTTGGACAAAACAACGTATACACCAGAATAGCCACGAAAATTAAACATCCTTCTACCTTAATTACTTGTGATTATCCCATTACTAAATTAAATGCTAGAATGACTAAAAAATAATTAAGACGCCCACTGGAAAATTAAATTTAAGAATACAACAATCTAAATTTGAAAACAAGAGCGTTCATTTCTCGGGCCTGATCAAAATTCACCAAACTTGTTGTTACTGAAATGAAGATTTTACAAATTACAATCTACAAGTGGAAAGAAAAGAGCTAGATTGAGATTCTCTTGATTCCAACTACAAAATTGGACCTCGGAATCATCGATCCAAACACCGTTTCGATCGGAAAACAAAATCTGAGCAAGAGAATCCAAAACCAAAACAAAAGCTCCAATTTTCCTGGGAACCAAACAGGAATAGAAAAGAAGAGAAAATGTGAATGAATACCCATTGACGGATTTGGTCATGGCGGAACCAAAATTGGATAAACTGGAAGCGATGGAGGCGAAGAAACCTCCATTTTTCTTCGGATCATTTGAAGCCATCTTCGATCGATCTTCGAGAAACAGAGAGAGAGAGAGGAGAACTGGAGAGAGAAACAAGGGATTGGGAAATTTGAATGAAAGAAATTGGGGATTTAGAATTAGAATATTTATTAATGAAGAGAACAGCGAATAAGAGCAGGAATTCACGTTGGCGGTACTTGGATTTGAAGTCAAAAAATATTAATATTTGGAAATTTTTCTTTTTGTTTAATTTTCTCTTTCTAGTCGACGCGTAAGCGCGTGAGGTCTAGAGTGGCGGCTAGCTAGCGAAGCTTCTTGCTTCGTGGATGACCTGGTTTCCTTTCCTTAGCCGACAATTATTTACAACAATAATAAGAACAGATATATATCGAAAACAAGAACGGCAAAATCGAATTGTAGGAGCTCTGAGGTTTGTGTTTCAGACGGTGTCCTTAAAATAAATTCGTCTCCTCACCACAGTGTATGCGGTTTTGCGACCTCTGTTTCTTAAGAAATCACCACTTCACTTTAAAATAGTGCTTCAAATAATGCCTAATTCCACTTTAAATGTCATTTCTCCAATAACACTTTTAATTTTTTAAGTTTATATATAAATGTTGGAAAAGTTCCATTAGAAACCCCATTGTGTAGGGTTGTACATATAACTGTCGAATCAAAATCAGCCCTCGGGAATTATCACTACTGACCAAGCAAAATTGACAGATTCAACCCCACGTTAGTACTGACGAACGTCCATTATCGAACCGTATCTGCCAAGTATTGGGAAACTTGATAGCAGTTAGTGTGGCATATGAGACTCAGTTAGGAACCAACCAAGTCCTCAGTTCTTCTTCCCATCTTTAAGACTCTGTTCTTTTCGCTGATTCAAATTTAGAATTTGAGTTTTGTTACAGTAAAAAGCTCTCAAAAACAGTCACATCTAACTTTTTTGCTACAGTAAAAAACTCTCACACAACATCACATCTCAACTCAAATTAAAAATTCGAATTAACAAACCGGACGGGCCTTAATTTTTTTAAGTTATTATTATTATTATTATTGCATTCTTTTGTATAAGTGAAACTAGTCATTTCACTTTTAGTTATATATACATATATGATATGTGAAATGACGATTGAAGAGACGACGACAGCGGTGATTGATAGAACAACAAAAGGCTAATGGCAGCGTCGAACTCAGAGAAGAAGGGCCAAAAGGGGAAGGGGTGGCACATGTAATATGTTAGGGATTAAGGTTTTCTAAAGCAATGCCAAACTGCTTTAACTTTGAGATTGTTTTCCCTCCAAACTCTATGCACTAAGGTGATGTTTGGTAGAGGGATTTGTTTCTTGATTCGAATCATGATTCGTGGTTCGATACAGTATTTTCTCTCACAAAAAATACACGTAAATAAAAAATGGTTCTAATCACGTGGTTCTAATCCATGAACCAAACGGACTCTAAACTTTGTAGTCGCTATAATAAAAGAAAATAAAAAACTAAATATGATTGAACCCAGGCAAAATAAGAGAGGTGGACTCAAAGAAAATGAATTGAGGATGAATTTTCTACTTCAGAGTTCTGAAAAACGAAGGATTTACAGCCACTTTCAATCACCCACCTTCAATGTTTAGCTCTTTTCAAACGAGTAGTCGACTGGGTTACTTGGTTACAATCTACTAGCGGCTAGTCTATTGAGTAACCGTTAAGAGTATGTTTGGTAGGAAAGAAAAGTAGAAGGAAGGAAGAAGGTGGAGAGATTTTGAGAGATAAAATGGAAATGTAAGTTGTTTGGTAGGAGAGAAAAGAGAAAAAAAGAGAAATTTGAGTGGAAAATAATACATGTGGGTCCCACCATTTTTCTTCTTTTCACAAGTGGGCAAAAAATGGGAACAACTAATTAAAGTGAGCAAAGTTACTAAACTACCTTTTTTCCATCAATATCCAAACAAAAAATTTAAGGGTATAAAAGTAATTTACGAGTAAATTTTTTTCTTTCCTCTCAATTTAACTTTTAATACCAAACAAGTGAAGGTAAACTCATTTTCTTTCCATCTTCTCATACTAAACAACATAAAATAAAATCAATTTCTTTTCCATCATTATTATTTTCCATCACTTCCATATTTCCTTTCATTCCTACCAAACATAGCACAAGTGTCAAGTAAACTAATAGGTGACCAATGAATATTCAGGTGGGTGACCGTCATGTGTCCAGGACACCAATGGATGAGCAACGAGCAATGGGAAGCTAGATTCATGAATGGCTACTTCCCAGTAGTAAGCGGCTGCTACCCACTTTTACGGTTGTGATTGATAGAAGAGTCATCACAATTTGTGTTGCAGAAAGAAGAACTGTCTCCGTTGGAATTGTAGGAAGAAGTTGTGACATTTGAAAGGTTTCTGTAGAGGTAGAAGAGAGAACAAAAATCAACCAAATACATATTATTGGGATACTGAGAGCGCGTTTAGAACTCATTCTAAAATAATTTTATTTTTTGCATGAAAACGTTTTTAATCTCAAACATAAATTATTTTTAAAAATGCATTGATAATTTTATTAAGAAATTATTTTTAATCTAAAAAAAACTCATTAATGTCCTTGTTTCTTTCTCTCTCCTCGAGATATGAGAAAACAAAAATAAAAAATAAAAAAATCATTTTTCATTTCTCTCTCATTTTACACTAAACTAAAAAATCGTTTTCATTTCTGTTTTTTGTCTTTATTGCGCCAAACACTGTTTTAAAAACGTTTTCATTTTCTTTCTTAAAAAACGTGAAAAATAAAAACGAGATCAATTCCAAATACGGTCAAAACCTTTATGTTCATGGCACATTCGTATGGGCTATATGGTCCTTTCTTTCGCTTCCTAATGCATTCAAAGAAAAGTTATTTCAAGTGAAATTGAAATCACACAATTCAAGCCTTAAACTAAATGAGATCTTGCTTTAAGCCAAAACTTGTAAATTGAGGTGATCGGAATTGTAATTCAAACTATCATTTGAATACGCAAGTAAATTATAAAATTTGAATATGTATTTAGATAGAATGTTGTAAATAGTCATTTGAAAAAAATTTTAAGGACTCTTCATTTCACCGATTCGAGTTTTCAGTTTTAGGTTTCTACAGTAAAAAGCTCTCAGAAAATGTTACATTTAACTTTTTTCTACTACAGTGAAAAACTCTCATAAAATGTCACATCTCAGCTCGAATTAAAAACCCGAATCCACAAAGTGAACGAGGCCGTAGTTTGTTAACAAAATTTACAAAAACTCAGGGCTTGTTCTTTTGAGTGAAAAACTCAAAAAAATGCAACTCGAGTTACAACTTTATTCGAGTTCATGTTCTTTTAAGTTTAAACTCGAGTTCAAACTTGAGTTTAGGACTAAAACTCGAGTTCAAATTTCCTCTTCAACTCGAGTTTAGAAACTTGAACTCAAATTAATGAACATGATTTTTTCTATTATTAAAAATGTTATAACTTTTTCGTTTTAATTCTAATTAAAATGCATTTTTTCTATGCGTTGACAATGAAAAGACGAATAAAACCCAACCCATATACCCTATTAAAATTTTTCATCAGCATTGAGTTTTTATTAAAAAATTATCTAAATACAAATTCAAGTTTTGACTCACTCAAACACAAACTCAAAAAGATTCTTATCTTAAACCATAACTCAAATGTACACAACTAAACACAAACTCAAGTTACAAGTTCAACTCAAATTATAATTCAAATTCAACTCAAGAATTATACTCAAGTTAAACTCCAAAAGAAGAAGCCCTCAATGTTAATGGAGGAACTATTTAAGATATATGGATATGGATTTTTTTCACTCTGAATGCAAGAATTATCTCAAGGTAAAACGTATAAGCTATAAACATTATAAAGCATGAGTTTTTATAGAGATAACAAATAATGAGAAAAAAAATAAAAATAAAAATAGAGGCAATCGATTGCACTTCTAACATCGGCACACAACGAAATTTTTGCCCCTCAATTCACAATAAACGTATAAATTATGATCGATGGTACACAACGAAATTCTTGCCCCTCAATTCACAATAAACGTATAAATTATGATCGATGGTCTAAATTAAAAAGATGAATCGATACGTTAAACAATTATTAACGGACCATATATACATGCAAATAGTATTTAAAATAGAAGAAAGACCGAAATTAAAATAGGTGGGTTCTTGTATATACAATTTTTGAACGTTTTGTTTATATTTACCATCAAAAGAAAAACTTTTTGGTGTTTTATAACTTTTATTATTTTTAACTTTTTGTGTTCTAACCTTTACTAGTTGAGTGGGGAATAAATAACTTTGATCTGCGTCAAAACATGTAGCCTTTTTAAAAATTAAGTTCATTAATTAGAGTAAAAAGAAAAAAAAATATTTCAAAAAAATCACATAAAAAATGAATTAAAATTACATAAGAGTTTTGAAAAAAAAATTATTTTAAAAAAATTATTTTAATTAAAAGAAAGTATTTTAAAGAAAGATATTATAAAACATGAACTGTGAAAGATTTTTAGGAAGAAAACAAGAAAAAAAGCGAAAGAATTGAAGAAAAAATTAAAAAAGAAAAAGAGAACAAGCTAAAAATAAACTATATATGAGTTTTTTTTTTTTTTTTTTTTTTTTTTTTAAAAAAAAAAAAAACAAAAAAAATAAGAATCAAGAAACCAAAAGGGAAAAGAATCGAAAAAGTAAAAAACGAAAACATAACATGAAAGAATAAATGAGATGTTGACATGCGATTAATGGTGGTCAATGGATAAATAATTTTTTTGGCCTTGTGTTTATATTTCTGTATATACATATATATATATATATATATATATAGTAGAGTTAAAAAAAAAGAATCAAGAAACCAAAAGTTTGAAGAATAAAAAAAAGTAAAACATAAAAACATAACATGAAGGAATAAATGAGAGGTTGACACGTGATTAAAAGAGAAGTAATTTCTTTAGTTTTTTTATGTGTGTTTAGATTTAGATTATTTTTCAATTTAGATTAGATTGAGATGGAAAGATTATCAGGGGAAAAAAACAATAGGCAAAAGGAAAAAGAGGAAAAGCTAAAAATAAATTGTATAAGAGTTTAAAGGTTTTACTTTTTAAAAAAGAGAAGCAAGAAATTGAAAGTGAAAAGAATTAGACGAGTGAAGACATCCTAATTAGTTGTAAAGTCTTCTGCCCTAATTATAAATTAAGAGTTCGAGTCACGTTAAACCCCACTTAAAAGTGATGACATTCTTTCCCGCTTAAAAATGATGACATTCTTCCTCCCTTTATATAAAAAAAAGTAAAAAGAATTAGAAAAAGTATATAAAAAAAACAGAAACAAAACATGAACAAATACATGAAAAGTTAACACATGGTGAAGAAGCAACCTTTTTAGCACATTATGTTTAGATTTAGATTTGATGTTTAGATTTAGCGGATTAGATTTTCAATAATTAATTTTTATTATTTTATCAGTTAGTATGATGAGATAAGTGAAAAAAATAAATAAATAGGGATAGTTGTAAAAGTCATCAACAAACAAATGAGAAGTTAACACATGGTCAGAAAAGAAGCAACTTGTTTAGCACTTTTAGGTATGTTTAGATTTAAGGGATTAGATTTTCGATATTTAATTTTTATTATTTTCTCGTTAGTATGACGAGATAAGTGAAAAATTAATAATAAATAAATAGGAATAGTTGTAAAAGTAGTTACTGTTTCGTTAACAATTCCTCTCTATTTAGTTGACTTAATTCGTTAAAAGCATTCATGGATTGAGTTGAATAACTTTTAGAAACTCATGCGCATTTAAAACTCGGTCTAAAATGATTTAATTTTTTATATAAAAATAAAAAAGAAAACATTTTCAATCTCAGACGGAAATTATTTTTTAAAATGTGTTTAGAGGACGTTTGATTGATGGATTCAGAATCATGATTCAAAACTATTCTCAATTTAAGTGTTTTTTGTGACAAAAAATACTATAGCGAGCAACGAACCATGATTCGAACCGTAGCACGAATCCTTAAACCAAACACACTCTAAGAGATTATTTTCAGTGTAAAAAACTCATTAATGTCTCTCTTTATCTCTCTCTGCTCGAGATAAGAGAAAACGAAAATAAAAAATAAAAAATAAAAAAGTCATTTGTTATTTCTCTCTCATTTTACACTAAAACAAAAAATCATTTTCATTTTCATTTTTTATCTTTATTGCACCAAACGCCGTTTTGAAAACATTTTCATTTTTTCTTTCTCAAAAAACGTAAAAAATAAAAACATGATCAATTCCAAACATAGCCTTAGTTGTTTTTCATTTTCTCTTCCCTCGAGCAGAGAGACATTAATGAATTTTTTTATATTAAAAACAATCTCTTGATAAAACTACCAAACATATTTTTAAAAATGATTTCTGTCTAAGATTGAAAACGTTTTCATTTCTATTTTCATATAAAAAATAAAATCATTTTAAAACGAGTTCCAAACGCACCCTATGTGTCAAACAGTGAAGGTAGAAAGTGACAGAAAGAGTTATGCTAGCATATTAGAATATAGACTCAAGACCACTCAACCAATTCAAAGAAACAAATTAAATTTTACCCAAACTAACCGATCACTTTCATTTAAAAAAAAAAAAAAAAAAAAAAAAAACCCTAACCGACGATTTGTATTCAATGTCCACTATGGCCTTGACACCCCATGGCGTTTCCTGATCAATAGCGGAACAAAAAACATAATTCTTTTACTTTACATTTCTTTGTTCTTTCATTTTTACCCCCCATAAAAATGGCGGGGACAAAAAGTTTCTTTTCCATAGACCACCAAGATATTAACTGCTTCTGTACACTTACAACAGTATCAAACACTAGGTGGCGTTAGAGCAATGGCCGTAAGGAAACACCTTTTCCCAATCGCATTTCCCTCAGTTTCTTGCCAACCCTGTCCTTCTTTGTAGCTTTCAACCTGTCGCGTTCCAGGAGATTAAAACCTGCTTCTTTGAATATAACATTATACAGCTTCTCTATAAAAGGAAAAGAGGTTCAATACGTTACTTACGACGTCAACTATGTTATAACCATCTTTCACTCCTCCAATCACGTAGACAGTGTCATTGACAACAGCAGCAACTGAATACCCTCTAGAGTAGTTCAAAGATTCCCCAGGCATCCATGATCCAATTCGTGGATCGAAAATTTCTACACTCGTAACCATTGTATTTCCATCGTAACCGCCAAGAGCATACCTGCAAAAGTTGGAAGTCCGTAGAGCCATACATCTATCAGACAAAACTCAAAACTCAATCATGAGAAATGGAAACTTGTATCTGAAGCCACATACTTTTTATTACCGGTCTTAAAGCAAGAAACAGCAAAATGAATCATAATCAAAATCTGTTCAAACTTATTCTTGCATTATAAGATATAACAAGAAAGAAACTAAAAAAAAAAACTCATATTTGGAAGTTATTTGGGCACTTGGTAGAAGCATAATGAGGCTCTACATACTTGTTTGTAAATATCGCTTCATGTTAAATGTCCACCTTTTGAAATTGTTTCCCTTAGAGCTTTTTATTGAAAGTTAAAACTAAAAGTAAGTGTTATTAAGTTGATGCGCTATACACAAATTGATATGTCAGATATAAATTGCCGCACAATCTCTTACACCAATGTTATAAGGTAATGAATAGACCTTGAAAATGCTGATTGAAACAAAGAGAAGCATGATCTCACACTTTTTCGTTCAAAACAACCAATGAATGGCAACCCCTCCTTGTATTCATAGCAGAAATATTTGTCCAGCAATGCTCTCTTGGGTCAAACCTTTCAGCAGACCTGAAATAGTATAAAATACTCATTCAACTACTTGTACAGAAATGTTACAGAAAATATCCACAATATTCTAGATGCAGCATTTGTTTATATCGAAAGAGAGGGAAAAGAAAATGCAGATTATCTTTTCTTTTCTGGTTCAATTTTTTTTTTTTTTTCACACATGTATACATTATTAGGAAAGATATCCATCTAGAAATTAATTCAATTTTTCCATCTAGATTTTGTGCAAAAACAAGTGTTGGACATTCGCATACACAGGTGTCTAGAGAGTTCCAAGGTGAAATCGCCTATAGAAAGAAGTGTCCTACAAATTATAACACGGCCCCAAATTTCCTTTAAACATGATGGATGCCTAAAATGCTTTGTGCATCGAATGCAAGATTGCACACCAATCGTGAGCCTGCTTTTCCAAACAAACATGGGTACATGTTTATACGCCAAGGTCGAGTGTTTGTGTATGTTATATGTTCATGTAAAAAGACAGCACTAAAGTTACAGTAACAGTACTTTGTATTTGCATCACATTCATATGGATTGCTGAACCACACACACTAAACACGTTTGTTTCTGTATGAAATGCAACATCTTACTTCAAATAATCATTCCCATCAAATCCGCCAGTAGCATAAATCACACCATTGAGTTCTACTGCAGCAAGTGCAAATCTCTGGAATAATAAAAGCAATAAAACCAGAGGTAAGTGTTGAACCAATTGTATAAACCAAATGAATAGTAGGAAAGGAATATGCAGATCAAGAACAAGATAAAACAAATGATAACATATTTGATTGTCCCGAAAGACATTTTATTTTTCACTTCCTCCTCTTTCCAACTACAGTCCACATGCCGTTGATATTTTTAGGATTAGAGGACGGAACTCCATCAATTTTGATATTATATCACCACCCTGCTCGTAATATTTTGGACCAACCATTGTGGTAGAGAAAACAGAAAGCCACATTACTTCAACTCCTAGTACCAAATATTGATAGTCTTGCGGTTCCACTGTCCTTCGACGCATGCAGATATGGCTATCCATGTAACTCTCTAATGTGAATTATGCTAGTAAATGGTCACAGTTAAAAAAGAACTTGTAAGTTTTGCAACACAAATACAAAAAGAAGTTACGTATATGTCATACCTTTTGCAGCATCGACCGTGTATTGATCCATCGGCCAACATCTAAATCAAGCATCTCAACATTTGAAAAACATTCAATACCATTCCCACCACCCATTGCAAATATTCTATTGTTGGCACAAGCTCCGGCCAAGCTTCCCTTTTTTTGGCTCAAAGAAGGGCATAAAGTCCACTGGTCTTTAGCCGGATTGTAGGATTCAACTTTAGCATAAAGAAATAAATTAATAATTAAATAATTAAGAAAAAAAAGTAAGCTAATATATTTTTCTTGAAGGAAAAATGTTATAACAAGGAGATATACCTGTGTCATACCAAACCTGACCATTGCCACCACCCATGACATAAACTTCACCATTTAACTGCGCAACTGAAGCATATGAACGGACAGAGTTCATTGGTCTAAGAGATTTCAACACATTCTGGGAAGGATAGAATGAGTCCAAGTCCGACAACCATAATTCACTGTCATATCCTCCCAATAGAAAAATGGATTCCTTGGTGTCCAAAAGCAAGTCATCAAATGATTCAATAACCTTCTCATCTCCAAGCACGGTGGAGGACTTAGATTCAGATTCCAACATGAGACGTCTCTTTAACACTTGAATTTCCCTTTCTGCTCTCCCCTGAAGTGTAAGGTAAACCAAATCTATTAAGGGGAACGAAATTAAGGCACCGTAGGCTAAAAACAGTTATAGCTCTGCAGTAGCATGGTCTCATAGAGCAGGGAAAATTATAAATTTTAAAACTGCACCATGGAACTGCAATTATAATTTGGTCTTAGCAAAGTAAAATAAGAACAATTTATATTTTTTCTTCAAGAGTGAAGATATAGTATAAGCCATAGGTTAGTTGTAACTTATATAAATTGAATGATTATCTTGACATTAGAAGGACCAATTGTTTAACCCAATTACTATAAATTGAGGATTTTGTTTAACAACAAGAGCAATTCTACAGGAAATATCAGCAACAAAGAGCAAATAAAATGAATGTATCTAGCAGAGACATGTGAACATACACATCCCTCCAGGAAAATGCCGATAGTAAGGTCCAAAAATAAAAAAATAAAATTTACGAACTCAATTGAAGCAGCAGCTTTCGATATCATCGCATAGATTTTAGCTTTATTTGTACTTAAAAAAAAATAATGATTTTTTTCAGCATGTTGATCAAAATAAATTCGGTCATTATCGGCAATGGATGATTTAATACACCTTAAGGCAGGCAACAATTTTATTTATTTAGGGGAAAAAAGACATAAGGAAAAGAACAATCACCAGAAAGAACAAATCAGGGATAAAGAAATTGCATCACGTACCAGCTTCTGTTCAAAAAGGCGAGTATGTTCTGTTTTAAAAGTCTTTAGCTCTTCCACCTCTCGAATTAACTGCAGAAATACATGAGAATATGAGAATGTTTGTACTAAAACCAAATGTACACGAGCCTGCCTATATGGGAAGTGTGAAAGATCGAGATAAAAATCTACCCGAGTTATAAGGGACTGATACTCAGATGATGCACTAGGAGTCTGTTCACAATTATCTTCTACACCCAACAGTTCTCCTTGATATCCTTTTTCCTTCAAGGAAATATCATTGATCACAGACGGATTTGTTACAACACCTATCACGGGTTCCTTTGGACAATCGTTTTCCCTGATCGGCATACCGTTTGATATAACAGTATCTTCTGCATCAGCCTTATGTTCATTGCTAATATGATCTTTAAGAGCCAATGCTTTGAGTTTCATGTATATAAGATCTTTCTCCTCTTGTTTAACTTCTTTCACATCAGATTGAGATTCCAATGACTGGTTTTCTCCATCTAAAGATGAGGCGACATCCGTAGAATCTGATTTCTGACTTGATTGACTTAAGTGCTCTGCCTCTAAAGCAAGTGTTGAAAACTCTTCACTTACCTCTCTAGTGTAACGTGAGGGAATAGCTCGGAAAATAGTTCTTGATTTCGCCATATTCTGCAATGCAGATGTACCGGGAGCAACTGCTAAAGAAGCCAGCAAACTTAACATCTTATTTGTCTGAGCATGGTCAAGCTCAAACCAGAAATGATGCTCATTGTAGTAGTTGTCTGCAATTATTGGTCTAAACTGACTTTCAAGAAGTGGTTGGCACTGTAGTCGGATGCGAATTTGAACCTTAAGGAGAAAACAGAATAACATTAACATTTTCTGTTGTCCATGAGCAAGTATCTCAAATATAATTGCAACTCAGACAAGTAGACCAATATGAGAAAATTTGATCTAGTACCTGTGCTGGATACAGTGTCCTATCTGAACCATCAGTGGTCCACCCATATGGGTTAATATTCATTTGGCCAGGGCAAGCAGCCTCAAATATTCCATGAAGTTTCCTATCACTGTAGTTGAACAGAAAAAGTGGCAATCCGGGATCAATATTCTTTACATAAGAAAAGTGATGAGCTGGTAAGCCTGAAAAGTATAACAAATATGTCTCATGAGTTCTTGAGGCGAAAAAAAAAAACAAAGAAAACGATAAATAAACGATTCTCCCAGCGCACATACTTAACAGAATGCACTTAAATATATAGATATTTGATATCAAGAATATTTCCAGGCGATACTGCAGGGGAATCCATGGTAAAATAGCAAAAATTTTACGTAAAGATAAGGAAAAATACATAGAGTACACAAAATATAAAATTAGATCACTCACCCAAGAGTTGTTTAAATAGACATTCCTTCATTGTGCTATTCTTGCAACCAAATATAACACCACCAAGCTGACTCTTCCTCAAATTTCTTGCCTGTAAAGAGCCAACAACCATGTTTGGCGCAGAAGGCGAGCTTCCATTGACTATATAGGTCTGTATTTTCTTCCCAGTGCCCATTCTAAGGTCCAAAGCAACAAAATACAAATCATAAACCCGAATTGCGAATAAACTTTGGTGGCATAACTTGAAAAATATCACCAAGAAAACTAATACATAATAGAATAACTGCCCTTAGATTCTGCACTTATCCGTTTTACATGACAGAAATAGCATACTTCGGTTCCAAAAAAAAAAAAAAAATCTCAGAAAGATTTCAGAAGAGAAGTTACAATCCATTCTTCGTTCAACCCCTAATGGCAAACCGCTACATTACCCGGTTAAGGACAAATTTGCTTCATAACAAAACAAAAACAAAAAACAAAAAAATAAAAAAGAGAGCACAATATATATATATATATATTTACATATATATATATATATTCATAAAAGAACAAAACTATCTGTGTCATATTCAAAAGCAGTTAGTTAATCTGGGGCCAAATTTGCCAAGTCCAACACATTAAGCTAAAGTGTAAAACATGTTATCACTAATTAGGCATGCCAACCACATTCATCAAGAACAGTACAACTTAATAAACAAAAATGTAATTAGTTAAATGTTAACGGAAACTATCCACAGACGTGAAATTTGTGAAAGTTTTAATTTTGATCTTTAGAAAATTATTCAAACGAAAGAAGAAACAACATTATGATGACACAAGATTTGTCTAACATATTCAACAACGTATTAATAAATGATGGCCATTGAAACACAACGTAGTGAAAAACAACAGGACATTAGCAAACGAAAATTCAAGAAGCATTGTGATGAATTCCGATCAAAATGAAAAATCAACGGCATGAATCAAACAAAGAAATGACTGCAGTGCAAAATAAAAGTTGAAAAAGAAGAATCGGAAAAAAATTAAAAAAACAAAAAAAAGCAAGCGATTAAGTTGAAGTGTAAAAGAAAATCGAAAACTTTGAAAAAGAATATAAATCGAAACCCTAATTTAACCAACGAAGATAAACGAACAGCAAGTTGGTTTCCGAAAAGGCAACAATTTTCCAGATTAGCGGAACCAGTGAAAATAAATGATTATACGATTCCTAGAAAGCCATTGCATAAGATTAATGTGAGAGAGATGCAGTCAGTGAGAGAGTGAGGAGGGAGAGAGAGACGTACTGTGGGTATGGGAGCGGGAGAGAGAGACAGAGAGAGAGAGAGAGAGAGAGAGTTTGAAGGGAAAACGAATAGAAAGGGCTTGTTGGTTTGCCTTTGGGTTTGGGTTTGCCGAAAAAACGAACGCAAAAGCGCGAAATGAGACGAGGCCGTACTTGTTTATTATTAGGGTGCGTTTGGAACAAACATTGTGTTATAATATGGATCATAATTTATGATTTATTATAATATATTTTCTCACAAAAAAATATATGTACATTAAAAATGATCGTAGGCCCGTTCACTTCGCTTATTCAAGTTTAGAATTCGAGTTTAAATGTGACTTTATGTGAGAGCTTTTTACTGTAGCAAAAAAGTTAGATGTGATTATTTGTGAGAGCTTTTTACTGTAAAAAAACTTGAATTCTAAACTCGAATTAACGAAGTGAACGGAGCCTTAAATTATGGTTCTGAATTTTACGTTTGGTTCATAGATTTAGAATCATGATTCACAATTATTTTTGATTTATGTGTATTTTTTATGAAAAAAAAATACTATAATAAATTACGAATTATAATTCAAATCATGACATAAATCTACCAACTAAACACAATGTAAACCAAACGTTCTCTTAGGCCCCGTTCACTTCGCTGATTTGAGTTTAGAATTCGAGTTGAGATGTGATTTTATATGAGAGTTTTTTACTGTAATAAAAAAGTTAGATGTAATTATTTATGAGAGTTTTTTACTGTAAAAAAACTTAAATTCTAAACTCAAATCAACGAAGTGAAAGTAACTTTACAAACACCATTTAACACTGCACCACCCTCCGCATCTTAGCAACAAATCCTACAATTGATACCTCAAATAGTCAATCCCATTCTTATATCGGTGAGTTTTTTTTTTTTTTTTTTTTCCTGAGACTTTCTTCTGCCTTCCTATGATATATCACTTTTTGATCCTTAAAATTATATTTAATTAAAAATTATGTAGAATATATAATTTTTTATATATATTTAACAATTTAAAAGTAAAGAACTATTAGTATTCATTTTCTCAGTCTTATAAAAACTCTTTTTTTATTTTTTAATAGGATAAAAATTATTTTAGTATCTCTTATTATAATGAAACATTTTATGTATGATATGTTTTTAATAATATTAAAACAATATATTCATCTTTGAGAAAAAGTTTTTTTAGTACTTTGAAATTAATTTTTGGGACATAAAATAGTACAATCTTGAAAGTGAAAAGTTAAAAACAAAATATTTAAATTGCACAATTTTATTGAATATGTGTACCATATAAATAATATGACGTGATATATTTGTGTATTAAGAGTCCGTTTAGTTTATTGATTTAAATTTTTAATTATAATTGAGATATAATTTTATGTGAAAATTTTTTATTATAATAAAAAAATTAAATGTGACTATTTATGATAATTTTTTATTGTAATAAAACTCAGAATAATTCCTCCTAATATTTCATTATACATTGTACAGTGAAATTTATCTCTCCAGAATACCCTTTTCCTTTCTTCCCTTCTCCTCATTCTAGGTGGGGGCATTTTCGTCATTTGATGCTACATTGGATGGGGGTGTTCTGGGTGGTTCCTGCCTTGCCTCCTTTATTTTTTCATTTTCGATTTGGGGCCATTCTCGGTGCTTCTTTCCTTGTCTCCTTTATTTTTTCATTTTCCGTTTCATATTTTTGCTCATTTCTCCGTAAATGGAGCCCTAGCCTTTTCTGTTTTTTGAGTTTCCTCATTGTCCCTCTTTTTTGTTCGATTTCTCCATATGATTTCTCTGTAAATAGAGCTCTAGGGTCTGTTGTTTTTTTTTTCGATGGTTCCTTTCTTGCCTCTTTCATCTTCTCATTTTCGGTTTGATTTCTTTGGCGATTTGTTTGTAAATGGAGGCGTTGGCTCTTTTGGTTTTTGGGTTTGCTTATTCTCCCTCTTTTTTGCTCGATTTCTCCATTTCCTTCGGTGATTTCTCTATAGATAGAGCTGTAGGGTCTTTTGTTTTTTTTGTTTTTATTTCTTATTTTCTTCATTCCGGATGCTCTTCTCGCTCATTTTGGTTGGACGCTGTGCATTTCTCCTTTAATGCATGCCATTTTGGATAATTTTCTCCTTTTTTTGTTCTGCCTTCTTTGGTGGTTTTTATTTGTGGTTTTGGTTTGTTTTCTTCCTGTGATTTTGGCGGACGCTGTCCTGATTCATTTGGGTTTTGGTGCAGGTTTTTTTTGCATTTTCTTGTCTTATTCATCTGGGTTTGCATTTTCCTATCTTATTTGTCTGGGTTTGCATTGTTTTTTTTTTTGGATTTTTTTTTGTTTTTTTTTCTTCTGCCTTCTTTGCCTGTTTTTATTTGTGCTTTTGGTTTCTTTTCGTCCTTTGATTTTGGTTCCCGCTGTCCTCATATATTTGTGTTTTGGTGCAGGTTTTTTCGCTTCATCTACATTTTGGTGGAGGCTTCTTCCATTTTCCTGGTTTGCCTTTATGTTCGTTTAACTATTGATTTTAGCTTCAAGTTTCAGTTTTCCTGTGCTTTTGGAGGACTGCATTTTCTATGCTCTTTTCCTTTCTTCCTGATTTTATTGCTTTTCCTGCTGGTTTTGGTACTTACTTCCTTTTGTCGCTGGTCTGTTAAATTTTTCAATATTTATAGAAATGTGTTATAATTTTGGAGTGGCTGATTGGTACAATTTTTGAAAGTTTTTTATATGCTGCTTTATTTATCCCCTCGATTGATTCTTTTCTTCAGAGAGAAACTTCTATGCAGATGGTTCCATGTTTTTATTTTAAAAAAACTTATCTTCGTCTTTATTTAATTAATGTTTGTATGTTGAGTTCTATGTAATTTGTTCAAAAATTGTTGTGAATATCTATTTCTCACTTAGAGTCAGCTTTTCTTTATTGTTTTCTGCAAAGCTTTCTAGATTTTTCGTCCTTTTTTTAAGGGGAAAAACTTATTCTGCGCCTTTTGCCCTTTTGGTATTTACTGTTTTATTCAAAAACTGTTTATACATGTACTGCCTCTGTTTTTCCACTGCTGAGCCTTGACTTTTCCATTTTGCTGTTACCATTGGGAAAAAAAAATATTCAAATTGTCCAATCCTTTTTGCTATTTACTGTTTCATTCAGGACCTCTTTGTACATGCAATAGCTTTCTTTTTCTGTTACTCACCTTCGGCTTCCTTATTCCATTCCTATCATTTCACATACACAAAATTCCCTGCAGGAAAAAAAACCAAAAGACAGACCTTATTATTTCATTCTCTTCTACTTATTCTATTCATCACCTTTTTGTTCCTCTATTTCCTATTGTTTACTATCTCTCTTTTCTCTACTTTTCCTATTTTATTTCATCATATAATCTATGTTACACTGTGCCTCTTATGTTGTTTTCTCCTTTTTTTGGCTCTATATTTAATTCACCTGGTAGTCTTTGAACAACTTTACATCTTACTCGAGTTATCTATTTTGTGTCACATGCAAATTATAATTTGTGTGATAGATACAATATGTCATCCTTTTGTGAAGTTGCCCTTAGTAGGCAGCCACAATGTATTTATCGCACATTGCTGAAAAGATTAAATACCTGAGCCACCATTCCAACATAAAGATACTATCATATTTATATTTATTGATTTTTCAGTCCCTTTTTTTTTTCTTTCCACTGCCCGGCTACTTTATTTAGTCACTTATTTATTTATTTCTATTTCACAAGATTTTTACTATTTCTTGATTCATTATGTTATTCCTTCACCGAAGACTATTGTTGATATTTGGCCCGCTCATATGTGCCACTTTACCCAAAATCTGAGCTTTCACCTACTATTATCAACCGCTGTCCATAACTTTTAAATTTTTTATATTGATATTGTATTTATGACTTTGCTGAAGTTGTATTGATGTTTGCTGTTCATCTTTCATTATTTGCTTCCATTTTTTCCCCTATTTGCCTTATACAAGACGTTCATATATTCACTTCCTTCTTTTTCTTCTTTCCTTCTTCTTAGCAATATATATATATATATATATACGTATATGTGTTTACTTAACATTTGTTAGTTTTGGTAACTTCCTTTATGTAGCAATGATGACTATAATTGATTTGACATATTCAGTTTCATAATATTTATCTATACATTGTTACAAGTTCCCTTGCCTTCTTTGGAATATGCTTTTATCCATTCTTCTTAGCTCAAATATTTTGATAATTTCTTCTTTGTTGTTCTTAGTTATTCTATGTTTTTTTTTTGCGTTTTACGTTTTTGTTACTTCATTAAATAACTGTCTTTACTTCTATTAGTTTCCTTTTTCTACTGCTGAAGCTTCATTTTCCAATTTTATTGTTACTCATTCATACAAAAAAAAAAAGGTCATCCTTCATCCCTCTTTGGCATATAGCTTTTCTTTTTTTCCCTTTTTTTTTTTTTTTAAATGAAGCCTTTATAGATGTATTACCTTTATTCTATATATAGCTTTATTCGACCCGTTCATATCCACAACTTTAGCCAAAATCTGAGGGTTCCGCCTACTATTATCAATCTCCACCCATGACTTTTAAATTTTATATATTGACATTGTATCTATGACTCTGCTGGGGTGGTATTGATGTTTGCTGTTTATGTTTGATTATTTGCTTTTATTTTCTTTTCTATTTGCCTTATACATAATGTTCACATATTCACTTCCTTTTTTTCCTTCTTTTGTTCTTCTTAGCAATATATATATGCATATCTATCTTTAGTTAACATATGTTAGGTTTGGTGATGACTATAATTGATTTTCACATATTCAGTTTCATAAAGCTCATCTATACATTATAACAAGTTTCCTTGCCTTCTTTGGAATATGCTTTTATCCATTGTCCTTAACTCAAATATTTTGATAATTTCTTCTTTATTGTTCTTACTTATTGTATGCCTTTTGCCTTCTTTGCTTTTGTTGTTTCATTAAGTAACTGCCTTTATTTCTATTACTTTCCTTTTTCTACCATTGAAGCTTCATTTTCCAATTTTATTGTTACTGCTTCATACAAAAAAAAAAAAAAAGCATTCTATTGTTACAATTCCATAGAAAAAAATTCCTAACATGCAAAAAAAACATATGTTGGTGTTTTATTTAAATCACTCTACGACATTATCCATCCTTTTATTCTTCTATTTGTTCTTTGTTAATATATTTCTTTCATTTTGTTATATAAAAATTGTATTATACCTATCTTCATCAACTTTTTAAGCTGGTTTTGTTTTTTCTTTATTTATTTATTTACTCATTTACTTATTCATTCCTGTTTATTTGTCCAGATTTTCTACAATTTCTTGTTGCTTTCTCTTATCCCTGTGTGACTAACTGGTATTGACTTTTCACCGCCTCATATTTGCTACCTAACACAAGGGCTATAGCGTTTGAGGTATTATCAGTATTTTTGTCCACAATTTTTAATTCCCTCTTATTTACATTTCATCTATTGATTACCTATGCTAACTGCAAAAATCTACTATTTATACTTTATTACTATTGCTTACATTCGATTTTTTTACCCTATTAATAAAATATTGCTGGTCTGAAACTTTGACAAAAATTGTATTTCAGTGTTAAGAAATGTTATTACTGCTATAAATGTACTTAAGAAGAACTGGAATTTATTGTTCATACAGACTCATTTTACCTACGATAGCTCATCTTTAATTTCCATCATTTTTGCAACAACTTCATATAATGTAAAATTATCACCTGCTGCAACGCGCGGGCACATCACTAATTATCTTGAAAGTATTGATATTGTTTGGACCAATTGCATGTTCAAATTCATTAAAAAAAAAAAATGCATGTTCAAATTATTGTTATATTTTTACTTCAACTTGTGCCTGTAGAATTATTGACGTAGAAGTAAAAAAAATAGTCAAAATTAATGTTATTGATAAAATGATCATAATGTTAAAAAAGTTAAACCTTGTTTGAACCAACTGCATAATCAAGTAGTACTATATTTTGAAAAATAAATATTCGACTTTGAATTTTTTTAATAAATAACTCTTTGTTTATGAAGAATACAGTTTAACACTGTATTATTTGATTTTTTTTATTTTTTTTTAAAGTCCCTCTTTAAGTAACAATCTTGATCGGAATTGAGGCATTAAGTATCAATTTACCCTGAAATGTGACAACTATTAGGTGTTAACTCGGATGGGTCTTTAATCTTTATTGTTCTATTGACTAAATAACACTTGAGTTGAAAAATAGAATAACATATTTGCGAACTGGCATTTTTGTGTGAATTAGACACTAAGATCTCGTTTAGCTCGCAGATTCGAGTTTTTAATTTGAGTTGAGATGTGATTTTATGTAAGAGTTTTTTATTGTAGCAGAAAAAGTGAGATGTAATTTTTTATGAGAGCTTTTAATTGTAGTAAAATTAGAATTGAAAACTCAAATTGGTAAAATGAACGAAGGCTAAGATTATTGAATTACTGCAATATCCTTGTTCTAAACTTGGGAACTTTTATTCATTTGCCTTTTTATTTGATAATTGAGATACAATTGTATTTAACCTTAGGAAATTATTGATGCTAGTTTTTTTAGTAATTAAAAAAAATGCAATGACGCTGGTTGTTTGGATATAAATATTCTTTTTTCCTGATTTCACCAATGATGTGTCACATGAGGGAAAGATTTACAAAATATATATATAATATGATATTTGTATTTTTTTTTTTAGATAAATAAAAGTTTGGTTTAAAGAGGAGATTTTTTTAATTTTTTCAAACTTGTCCCAATCGAAAATTTCATTTGCGTCTTACGGTGGCTATTGACAAAAAAAGGTTACTAATTTAATGCACGGTTCTTTTTAGGAATAATTTAATGCACAATTCAATCGTAATCTTTTATACTAAATGTTAGAATAATTGGTGTGGATGATATTCAATTGTAGACTCTTTTGGCCTAAATTGATTCGAATACGCTTTCGGATTTAAAACTTCAATTAAAGATCTCACTATTTAACCTAATTCAAACCTATAATAACTCTACATATAGAAAACAAAGAAATGGTAATAAATGGAACGAATATTACAAAAGTTTATGCTCGAATTTCATTTATAAGAGTGCTCGTTTTTTAATTTTTGTCCAAATAGTACATTCAAACCGCGTTTCTAAAATTTTAAATGCTTATTGTAAACTGTAACGCGAATTTAAGAAAATATAAATACCACATAATTTTCAATTCAATTTCTAATATCAAATTTTAATGTTTGAGTAGAATCGTTAGACAATCTTAAGTCTTAACGGTCCATTTAGTTCGTTGATTTAGATTAAGATGTAATTTTATGTGATAATTTTTTACTGTAATAAAAAATTTAAATGTGATTATTTTTAAAGTTTTTTATTGTAATAAAATTTAAATTTTAAATTTGAATAAGTGAAATGAATGGGGTTAAGACACTCATTGTCAAATCGTTAAAAAAAAAAAATCAAGAACAATATTCTTAAAAACCTTGAGAGAGAGAGAATTGTTAAAGGGAAAAGCATAAAGTAATTACTAAACTCTAAAGTAGAAGAAATTGCCCGCAATTTGCGATAGCCAAAAAAATCAAACAGTGCCTTAAAAGAAAAGAAATAAATAATCAGTCGGCGACAAAAGAGCAAAAAAAAAAAAAAAAAAAAAGGGGGAAGCGAAAAACGTTGACTAAATAGCCTTGTTTCTTTGACTACGTAAATACCAACTCTCTCTTTCCTCTCTAATCATTACTCTCTCTCTCTCTCTTCTATTTCTTCACATTATCAATAACTAATCAGACCATCTTCATCTTCATTATTTCTTCTTCATCGATTTCAATGGCGGGAAATCCGGCCTCGTCGGAGATCCAGATCAGGGTGAATTCCCGGCGAGGCTACAACGCCGTACATCCGGTGGAGATCGACGCAACGACACCTCAACAGCCGTCGTCTGCGGCTCCGAATCCTGTCGTTTTACGAGAAGTGAAGCATTTCAAGAAATGGGTTCCTTGGTTGATCCCTGTATTCGTCGTTGCTAATACCATTCTGTTCGTTATCACCATGTACGTTAATAATTGTCCTGAGAATTCCGATTCTTGCATCGCCAAGTTCTTGGGAAGGTTCTCTTTTCAGCCTTTTAAAGAGAACCCTCTTCTTGGTCCCTCTTCCACTTCGTGAGTCTCTCTTTCTCTCTCTCTCTCTATTTTTTCTTTTTTGAGAAATTTATGTTTCTTTTTATGGTTTTTATGTTAAAATGTAAGTAGCTTTTTTCTATTTTTGACTTTATGTATCTTAACAAATGTTGAAGTAATCCATCTGCCTGTAATTTTTAGTAATTTTCTGGGTAATTTGTGTTTTTTTTAGCATTTCTGTAGTTTTATATTTCTTTTGATTGTTGTTGTGTTAAAAGTGTATAGGATTATTTTTTATTTTATTTTTTTGCTAGTTTTGACTTTATGTTTCTTGTTAAATGTTGAAGAAATCTGTGTATCTGTAATTTTGGATCGTTTTGAGTCATTTCTATGTAATTTTCTGTTTCTTTATATGGTTGTGTTTTTATAGCAGCCGTTCGTACAAGAAATTTTTACCACTTTTTTTTTTTTTTTTTTTTTTTTTTTTTTTTAAAATGGGGTGAGTTGAATATTTAGGAATTCCAAGTTCCTTTTAGTAATTTCTATCCCTTATATTATGTTTAGTTGCTTGAAAAATGCTAAATAGTTTCTCAACCTGTCAGAGTTTCTTTATCCTATTATGTTAATATGAATTAATTAAAAAAAATTAGTTCTTATGATCACTACTGGTAATGCATGTTTGGATATATCTTTGTTTTATTGTTAGTTATTTATATTTTTTTTATTATTATGATTGATTAGGTTACAGAAGATGGGGGCTCTTGATGTAAGTAAAGTGGTGAATGATCACCAGGGATGGCGCCTCTTATCTTGCAATTGGTTACATGGAGGTGTTTTCCATATTTTGGCTAATATGTTGAGCCTTTTGGTTATCGGAATTCGGCTTGAGCAAGAATTTGGATTTGGTATGTGTATAGAAGTTAATTCCTAAGCTACATTCCTATGCTTATTTTGATAAGGAGGTTACGAAGTGTCATTCTCAGAAAAATGCAATCTTGGATGTTTGTAACTCGGTATTTTTTAGTGACTTCTTTTTTTTTTTTTTGGTTGAAATGTTTCTTGTTAGTCAAAACTACTGGTTTGATTCTGATTATGCTATATTGTTTGTTAATCCTATCATCAAAAATAGGTTTGGCATATGGTTGATGGAGTGTTGCAGTTAACTAAACTAGTTTCGTATATGCGTTTAAATGGGTCTTAGTAGTGTTCAGTGATTTTTTTTAAAGCTAGTTTTGTGTTGTAAAAACTTGTGTTATTCTTTACAGTTTTATAAATTTTTTACTCTAAATACTGGAAAATCTTTCATGTGGTTCTGCTTCCAGTCCGGATTGGATTGCTTTATGTTATCTCTGGATTTGGAGGGAGTCTGTTATCTGCACTTTTCCTGCAGTCGAATATATCCGTTGGTGCTTCCGGTGCACTTTTTGGGTTACTCGGAGGAATGCTTTCTGAACTCATCACCAATTGGACAATCTACGATAGTAAGGTGCGTTGAGTTGATTTCAATCATATTGTTTATTTCTTATAGTTGACACTCATGGACATAACATCTACATATATTTCAGTTCGCAGCACTTTTCACCCTTGTGGTCATCATAGCTATCAACTTGGGAGTAGGTATTCTCCCACATGTGGACAACTTCGCTCATATTGGCGGATTTTTGACGGGCTTCCTTCTTGGGTTTGTGTTTCTGATACGCCCCCAGTTTGGATGGGTTAGCCAAAAATATGCATCTCCGGCATATAATTCAGCTACGGTCAAATCCAAATTCAAGACATACCAGTATATACTATGGGTTGTTTCTCTCATTCTTTTAATTGTTGGGTAAGCCTCTAACTCTGCGTCTTCATTTTAAAGATGCTCTTTTTCTATTACTAGATTGGTCTTTGAAATAAATGGGTGAGCTTGAAGTGTTTCGAAAATTCTGTTTTGGAGAGAAACAACTCATTTCTAACTTCAATTCCCTAGAACTTGGATATTTTCGGAAATTAGATGGCTTAATGTGGTGGCACCAAAAACATCATGTAAAAGTTGACAAAAAACTGTTTTTGCTGATGATATCCTCTTGGATTATTTTCCTCTCCACATTTTTCAATTGTGATTTTTTTTTTCCTCCAACTTTGACAGGTTAACCGTCTGGTTGGTCATGCTACTCCGGGGAATCGACGCTAATGATCATTGTTCTTGGTGTCACTATTTGTCTTGTGTCCCCACTTCAAAATGGAGCTGCAAGACTGAGCCTGCTTACTGCTGGGTTAGTAAACTGACTATTGCTTTATACTCCGCTGAAAAACTCGAGCTTTTTTTTTTGTTTTTTTCCCCTTAATGGAGCATGCTATTTTCAAAATAATATTTACACACCAACTTGTGATAATTGCACCAACCTGATTGCTTTGTTAACACATCGGTGGCGCAGTCGAACCAGATCGGTGACCAGCTTAACTTGACATGTTCAAGCAACAACAAAACCAGCACATACACAGTGTCAAACCCAAGCAGTTCTAGGATCCAGGGGTTATGCACACAGCTTTGCAGTTGATTTATGCAATATGAATGAATTATGGACATTGGATAGAGCTGAATAATCTATAGTGTATATTGCTTTTGTGTGGCATGCTGGTGTATGTTGTCTTTATAAGGTATGTTTATTCCCTCGTTTTTTTTTTTTTTTTTTTTTGTTGTATTCTTGTATCATTCATTTACGGAGAGTATTATTTATATATATTTGTTTTTGCTAAATAGCATTATTTATATTTAAACCCTGTGAATAATTTATATATGTTTTTCCTAAATAGCATAATTTATATTTAATCCCTGTTAATAATTGTCTTTATAATATTAGGGGATACAAAAGAAAAAGAATAAAAAAGTGAGAAGAAATAAAAATGAAGGATCAAAAGAGGTAAATAGAAAAAGGGGATTATCTGGTAGTGTACTGGTAAGTCAGGTTTTTTTAACCGTTGAATCTGTATATTTTTTAATTTCTACGTGATTTTATACAGCTCTACGAACAGAAAACTTGATCTACTATTAAGTTGGCAATAGTGTTGAAAATTTGGGCCGGGCTAGACAGGCCGGCCCAAAGCCCGTTATTGTAGGCCCGGGGACTGGCCCGAAGCTCGTTATTGTGGGCTCGGGGACCGGCCCGGCCCAAATCCGTACAAGCCCGAGCCCGGCCCGGCCCTAGTGTAGGGCTGGGCTGGGCTGTAATTCTAGGCCTGTAGGCAGCCCGAGCCTGGCCTGGAGAGCCCGGCCAGAAATGGCCCAAAGGTCTAAATTTTTTTTTTCTTGGTTACTTGTTTTTGGCCCATCGGTAATATTACCATTGGGTTGACTCACTGCCTCACGGCAGTGAGTCTGAACTCTGAAGCAGAGGGCAGCCCTCTGCTATTTTTTTTTTCTTTGTTACTTGTTTTTGGCCCAAACAGTAATATTACCGTTGGGCTGACTCACTGCCTCACGGTAGTGAGTTTGAACTGAAGCAGAGGTGTTGATAATGATGACAATTTCTAAATTTTGGCATGGTGGAGGCTACAAGGTGTAAGATTTTCAGTACTTTTAATATTAGCACGTGATATCTTGACTATTCCAGTATTAACGGTGTCTTCAGAATCTGCCTTTAGCACAGCTAAGAGGATAATTGAAGAAAGAAGGACTTCGTTGACTCCAGAAATGGTTGAGGTGCTAATATGTCTAAAAGATTAGGAAAAGGCTTCTTTGCGAATGCAACACACAGCTAAAGACAGAGATTTAATGGATTAATTTTAAAACTTATACATTGACGATAACGCTTCTGATGCCGGGAGTAATGTAGCAGGCAGTTAGATATTTTTGTTTCTTAAGTATATATAAATTGTAACTGTGAAAATAATACTGCATCCTTTTTTTCTTACCAAGGTTTTATCCCAATGGTTTTTTTTGGTAAGATTTTTAATGAGGCAGTTATAATTACATAAATAAAGTCTTATTCCATTAAAATTTTACAATATTAACTATTTATTATAAATTTTGTTATCTTTTTTTAAATTTTTATAAATCATGCTCGGGCTGGGCCAAGCCGATTCGGGCTGGCCCGGCCCATGATAGCCCGGCTCGGCCCTAGGCCCGTCGGGCCTTAGGGCCGGGCTGGGCCTATATAAAGTTATTTAGGGCCGGGCCGATTAAAACTACGGACCGGGCCTGCCCTAACTACCCTTTCGGGCCGCCGGGCCGGGTCAGGTGGCCTGAATTTTCAGCTCTAGTTGGCATACTGAAAAAGTTCTCAATAAGAAAAAAGGGAGGATATGAAAACAAAAAAAGGCACGCCACAAAATGTTTCGTTAGTGGGAGAAGAGGGTTAAAAAAAAGGTAGAGATATGCATGAGAAAAAATTGAAAAGCCAACATCATGTCAAAAATGACTGGTCGGTCGATTACCATTTTAAGTGACATTTGTTTCAAGGATTTTGCATGGTTTAGGATCATGATTTTTGGTTCTGCTACAATGTTTTTCTTTCACAAAAAATTTAAATTTTAAAAATTAAAATCATGAACCATAGTTTTAAATCTATGAATTAAATGTCACATTAGTGATTTGATAGTTGGTCGGTGATCGAAACTGACCGATAACTTTGCTTAAAAAATTAAGGGAGAAAGAGAAAAATAGATCAAGACTTGAGATGAATTAAAATTAATAGACTAATAGTTTACATAAGTTAATGAATAGGCAAAATTACTATTTTCGTCCATAATTTGTCTGGTTATGAACCATAACTTGACAAGTTATTGTCCATAATTGTCCATAACTTTTCTGATTATGAACCATAACTTGACAAGTTTGTCCATAACTTATCTGGTTATAAACCATAACTTGACAAGTTATGACCTATTAATTTCTATAACTAAAAATTGGTCTACATACTTTCTTAAACTTTTCATATTGACATATTTTCTACTATTTCCCGAAAAATAATTTTGAAAAGCACTAAAGACGGGCCTTATCACTAACCCACACCAATAGATGTGCAATTTTTGAGTACTAATAACATTTATTACGGTTATGCATGTATTAATACTCCAAATTCCAAAACGTAATACCTAAGGTGCTCATGTCAAATGCTATTTCTTGCGTTCTACAAGATTTATCCACCTCTAGTCACTCTATAAACCTTTATCTGAATTTTTATTTTTCTAACAATTGCTACTCTCTCTTCTTTGTGTTCTTTGTAAGATGTACTTTTCAATCTTAAAAGTTTTATCTTTTATACTAAAATGTATTTTGATCTTTTAGATTTTAAATTTATGATTAATTTTATATTTTCTTGATTAACCGTTAATTTTGGTTAAAATAAAAACAGTCGAACTTAAAAGAAGAAAATAAAATAAAATAGAATTTTCAATACGTGAATGAGATTTAAATGTGTTTGGTTCAAGGATTCGTGTCATGGTTCAAATCATGATTTGTGGCTCGCTATAGTGTTTTCTCTCACAAAAAATACACGTAAATTGAGAATGATTCTGAATCCATCAACCAAACGTTTAGATTTTTCCTATAGTCAATATTAACTTTAACTCAAAAAGATAAGATTCATGTGAGTTGAAAATGTGCGTTATAAATATCAACTTATTATAAAAGCCGTAATCGGCTAATGCCTTTCCTCCTCGCACGTGGGGGACTCCATTGAAATAATTTTTTTCGAACATACCCTTAATCAAACATTTATTTCCTTCTCATATGTACACTGGAATTTGTTTTTTTATTTTTATTTAGTTTTTTAAATATATTTTATATTTAAAAAATAACCATTACTGAAATAATTATTCTCAAATATGCCATTATTTAAACATCTTTTTATTTCTCTATGTACACTCTAATTCATTTTCTATTCCAAATCAAAATATTTCTTTTAATATGTTCGATTTTATTTATGAAATATTAACATTCGATAGAAATATACGTTGTGACTGAAACACACATTTTGATATCATCTATTTTTTTAAAATATAATTGTTTAAATTATACATGTTTAAAATTATACATCTATTTACTTGTTTTTTAATCTCTTCTACTGTTGTGTGTTTAAAATCAAAATTACTTTCTCGAATAGACTACTCAATGACTCACACACAACAACATGTGTGGAGCACATCCTCAAAATTAGTATGGTATAAAAAAGGATTAGTCTCATCCACAGTACTTAAATTTGAGTGTCATTTTCAGTTTGTACCTCAAACTTTAAAAACTTTACTAAATTTGAGTGTCATTTCTACTTTGTGCCTCAAACTTTAAAAACTTTACTTTATCCTCTCAATTTTTAAGTTAGTCATATTTAACCCTATCTGTTAGAATTTCTATTTACAGACATAAAAAAAAGAATGTGATGCCTCAAACTTTAAAAACTTTACTTTATCCTCTCAATTTTTAAGTTAGTCATATTTAACCCTATCTGTTAGAAAATATGTTTACAGACATAAAAAAAAGAATGTGATCACGTGACTTTTATATTAGAATTTGAGTTAAAAATAAATAGAAAAATATCATGTAATCACATTTAACTCTCTTTTTTACGATTGTTTTTTAACTAAAATTCTACTAAAGGACGTATGATTGAGATAAAATCATAATTTAAGAGGTAAAGTGAAAGTTTCAAAAATTTAGGAAAAAAGTCGAGAATTACCCTAAATTAGTAGTATAGATGAAAATATCAATATTGGTGGAAATATTGAAAAATATTGTGGAAACTAGAAACATTTGTTTTGACACTTAATATTTGTTTTAGATATCTTATAATATGATAAACATAAAAAAGATAAATAAATAAATAAATTTGTACAAATACAATACGCTAGGACCTCTAAAATGTTTTATTTTTACTGATATATTTCAATATTTACCGTAATTTTATTGAAAATTATGAAATATCTTCGATATTTTTGAAATTACCACTAAAATTTCAGAATTTTTAACATCCCAAAATATCTTTTAGGTATAAAATAATTTCTCTAAAATTTTTTGATAACTTTCAGTAAATATCAAAAAAATTCTTTTACACCTAAAATTATTTTAGGATTTTTTATTTATGAAAATTTCAGGAGAAATTTTAGAAATATCGGAGCAATCTTCGCCATACTTAGTAGCACATGTAAGATTAACAAAAAAACTAATTTCTTTTTTTCCAACTTAGTTTCTTGTTTTATCGATTCGAGTTTAGTATTTAAATTTTATTATACTAATAAATTTTCAAAAATAGTTACATTTAATTTTTTTTATTATAATAAAAAATTCTCACATAAAGTCACATTTTAACTCAAATTAAAAACTCGAATCAGTGAACTAAACGAGCCTTTAAACTCTTTTTACTAAGGCATTCTCGTAAATTCAATAACTTTTATGTGATATTATTTTCTCCAACGAATTTAAATTATGATTTGGATTGTGAAAAATAATCCACCCACCAAGAAAACTCTCTCTCTCTCTCATAAATCGTAATCTAAAAGATTTTAGAAGACGTTTGGTTCATAGATTAGAATCATGATATTATAATTATTTTTAATTTATGTGTATTTTTTGTGAGAAAAAATACTGTAGCAAACTATGAATAATAATTCAAATTATGGTATAAATCTTCTTACCAAACGTCTCCTAAATGTTAATTTACTGATTTGAGTTTTTAATTCGAGTTGAGATGTAATTTTTTTTAAATTTTTTTTATTATAGTACTGTTTTTTAAAAAAAATTTAATGTAATAAAATGGATGAAATAAACGGCCTAAGAATCCCAAAGCAGAACTTCCTGACTTTCACAGTCCTCCATTCCTCCTCTCCTGTCGCCGGATTTTTATCTCGTCTCCATCTCTGGACTCTCTCCGCAGAAAAACCTAGCTTTCCATCAGAACTTCCATGGCGGTTCGAGCCGTCAACGGCTGCTCAATCTTTCCCCTCATCGCCTTCCGACGCCGCCACTTCCCCTTCAAGACCTCCTACTTTCGCCGTTGCTCTCAGCAAGGGTTTTCATTTCCTGTGTCTCCTTCCGGGAGGAAAGTTCTCGATCATGGCGGTACTTGGAGCTGCTCGGTTCACAGTTTGGTCGATAGCGTCATGGAAGAGCTTCGGACCTCCCGCAAACGGAGGAGAATTCGCGCCACCTCAAGGTTGGTTCACACTTTACTCATCATTTCTTCTAATTTTCTTGCAATTATTGTTTGTAGAAAAGAAATGGATGAATTCAAGTTCCTTTTCTTGTTTTTTTCCTCCATGGTAGAACGTTGAACTTCAGGAAATTTTGTTGCTTGATTAGACATTGAGTATTTATTTTTTGAATTCCAATTCTTGGGGTTGTGAACGATAATTCCACAAGTGAGGAAGTTTTGGCCATATTTTGCTTCTTTTAAGGACTAAAAGTGTCTTGAGTGAAGCGAATGGTTGCTTTTCTTTTTCTCTACGGGATCATTTTTCTGCCAATTACTTAAGATGGAATACAGTTTTCAGGCTTAATTCGTTTTACAATATGAATCACAACTCAAACTTTTTGCTATAGTACTTTTTGCTATAGTATTTTCTCTCACAAAAAGTTAAGTTTTCAACTCGAACCGTGAAATTTTTTCCCATTGATTTCTCACAAGACATCTGATAATGCCAAATCCCAGATATTGGTTGGATGTTGCTGTGTATAAAACTCTGTGGGTCCCATAACAGATGTATGAATATGTGATTGATTTGAAACCGGACGGCAATGATCACCAGTGGTGATACATTGCATTGTCAATTTCTTATAGTTGTTTGAAGAGAGTGAAGCTAGCTACCATTTTTCTTTCTTTAATTGTTTGTTTCTTTTTATTTTATTTATTTTTGGTTTGTGGTGACGGTAGTGGTCATGATAATCTTATCAGTAATGCTATAATTCCTTTTTTTTTTTTTTTTTTTTTTTTTTTTTTTTTTAAAAATTTCTTTTTTTTTTTTTTTTTTTTTAAAAATTTCTTTTTTTTTTTTTTTTTTTTTAAAAATTTCTTTTTTTTTTTTTTTTTTTTTAAAAATTTCTTTTTTTTTTTTTTTTTTTTTAAAAATTTCTTTTTTTTTTTTTTTTTTTTTAAGCATTCATTTTTTTTTTTTTTTTTTTTTTTTTTTTTGATTTTGAAGCATTCACTTGTTTTCTAGTTTTCGTTCTGTTAATTTATGTTATGCATAATATGACTATTAAATATAAATGACTGGGCAGAGTGGAAATAGCAACAACAGGAGATACTCTTGAAGGCAGACTTGAGAAACGAACACTGCAGAAAGGGTTGCTGCTAGAGTTCAAGAAGGAATCAGATAGAGTATTGCTTGCTGTTGCTCAGAAACCTGATGGCAAGAAGAACTGGATGGTCTCTGATCAGGTTCTACTACAAACAACTAATGCGGCATGTTGAATAGGTTGCTAGGAGTTGGAACTCATATTTCTACTTTTACATGTGGAGAAGTTGACATTCCTTCGAGTTTAACATTTTGTTGTAACTTTTTTCCTCAATGGCAGAATGGTGTGACATCATCCATTCGACCTCAACAAATTACATATATTGTTCCTGGTGTTGAGAAGTTCAACCATGAGGACATTGGGGACTTCATCCAGAAAGCTCAAGATAATTTGGTTGGTTTGGCATAAACATTGTAGAAATATATTGTAGTTTTTTCTGACGTTGTATGGTTGAATATATTGTAAACAAGCCTGGAAAATATTATAAACAAAACGCTCTTATTTATTATAGGATCCTTCATTGCTAGAATTTGCTTGGGTTGAGCTTCTTGAGAAAAACAAGTCAGTGACAACAGAAGAATTAGCTGAGGTACCTTACTTATCTAGTTTCTTGAGTTTTGTTTTTCTCCTTCAGAGACCTTAGCTATTCTACAGATGATTTTTGGTAGTGCGGAGCCTCTGGAGAGTTACTGTGCCCATCTTTTGCTTTCAAAAGATGAAATTTATTTCACTGTGCTCGAGACAAAAGGTTCATTCTCTGTGTATGGACCTAGACCTACCGTACAGGTACATTTTATGTAATGGCCCAAATTGTGACATCGTTGGTTTCAGAGATAAAATTTATACCACATTCCGCTTTCAGTCTGGAGTTTCTGGCCTTGTGTGTGTGTGTTTGCATGCATAAGTATATACTGTTATGATGGAATACTTCTGTTTAAAATATAGGTAGAGGAACTTCTACGTAGGAAGCTCATGAAGGAGGCTGCTGAGAAAGAGCTGGAGGAGTTTGTTCAATTGCTGAAATCTGCTCAGGCGATGCCTATGGATGTTAAACCTCCCAAATCAGCTTGGAAGGCTGACGAGAAAATTAGACACAAAATTGAGTCACTTGAATCATACGCTATTGATGCATGCATGAACGATGACCAAAAGAGAACTGCTGGACTGGTATCTTACGGCAGCTTGAATTTGTAATATTTTTCTGTGTAATTTGTGCTAACACTGTCTTTATACATGTGTATGCATTTACCTTAATGCTGGAAGTTTATTTTATTTTATTCTTCTTGAGTTGAAGACCTTATAATTATATTCTCAATGCAACTGTTCTTTATGGCATATGCATAGCATGCCTTGTCTCATATTTTTCATTCCTTTCAGATTCTGAAAGCAATGGGTCTGGCAAAAACAGCATCATCGGCAGTAAATCTCCTCATAGATATTGGCTACTTTCCTGTTCACGTTAATCTAGAGCTGTTGAAGCTAAATATTGACACCGAGCATTCAGAAGAAGTGATAGCAGCTGCAGAAAGTCTTCTGGCAGAGTCGCCTGATCCAGATAAGGTCAGCCTGCTAACCTTTTTTTTATATAAATAATTCTGAAATAACATGAAGGTACATAGAATCAGGTTAAAATTTACAGGGCGATTCTTTTATTTTTAATAATGAATATTGAAGCTGTTAAAAGTCAAAGAATCAGAGATAAATTGTTGGAAATATATATTTTCTTGGTCAACGAAAAATTTGCAATGTCTTATTAAAAACGTGCAGAAGTTTCTACTTATTTTGGAAATGGCATCCCTATGACTGTGGAGGTTTTTTATGAAGTCGACAAGTTGAAACTGTTGAAACAATTCTCTGCTTTTAAGACTGTTTAAACAATTCTCTCTGCATGAAGACCTTTGCAATTGCTTTTTCTTTAACTAGACTTGGGGGTGAAAAGAATCTGCATATAACAGTGTCCATGCTATTACGTCTTGAACTATTTTTCCCACACATGCTTATTTTGTGTTCTTTGTTTAGCTTATTAGGAAGGATCTTACTCACTTGAAGGTTTACGCCATTGATGTCGATGAAGCTGATGAGGTAAATTTACTCTCTTTTCAAGAATGCTAGCTATCATATTATGCTGTCAAACTATTTTAAACTTCTGTTACATCGGAATTGGGACCTTCCCATTTTAAATTTGTAGCCGTGGTATAATTTACCAGCTTGATGATGCTCTGAGTGCAACAAGGCTCCAAGATGGGCGCATAGGAGTTTGGATTCATGTCGCAGATCCTACTAGATTTCTTCATCCAGGGAACATAGTTGACAGGTAAAAAGTAGCCCGCGGAACACCATGACATATAAAAACATTTCTTGGTTTCACTCATTTCTGATCCATGTGTGATGTAGGGCTGCAATGAAAAGAGGAACTTCAATTTTCTTGCCTACAGTCACATATCCTATGTTTCCAATAAAACTTGCCATGGAAGGAATGAGTTTGAAGCAGGGAGAGATTTGCCATGCTGTATCAGTATTTGTTGTGCTTCGTTCTAATGGAAGGTAGAAGCTAATATTTTGGCCATTCTCCCCCCTCTTCAATGTGGCGTTATTTCAATTTTCAAGAAGATCTGGCATTTTACCTTCAAATCTTTGATGCCATTTATTAGGATTTTATAGCATTAGCTGTATTAGAGCTTCCTGTGATTTATTAGTAGCTTCTTTATGATATACTTTCACGTTTCTTTTCAAAAGGAACATCCTGAGTGAAATGGAGGAAGTTGATTTGTACCCTTTATTCTACGTTTGATTTCTTTTTGGGATGTGGTAGATTCTTTCGTTACCTGGGACCCCCAGGCACGGTTGGTAGAATTCACCTACTGGTTTAAGGGAACTTCAACCATTTTAGAGAGATGTTAGTTGGACTATTGGACAACCTTTGTGCAGTTATTGATGCTTCTCTAAGTAGCAAGTACCATACTTATGGTTAATACTTCTATAATCTAGTTTTCTTTACAAAATCTGTTTTACTTTCTGTGGTTCTGTAGCATTGCTGAATATTCAGTGGACAATACATTCATTAAACCAACCTATATGCTGACACATGAGAGTGCATCTGAGTTACTTAATCTGGATCTGACGGAAGAGGCTGAGTTAAAAATTCTGTCTGAGGCTGCTACTCTACGATGGAAATGGCGATGCGAGCAGGTTGGTTTTATGAATTATATAAAATTTGAGGAATCTATAATCCGAAGTTTCCTAGAACTTATTTTCTCATGATTTTGTATGTTTAAACCCCTTATTGATTGGTGGGTTTTGAGTTCTGCAATCACTCTTCATTGTCTTTAATATCGTATTACTTGACTAATGAGATGTTGTTTCTATTGTTTGTATTGGTTATCTGGATATATTATGTTATTTGCGGTCAAAAAAGTTTGCTTAATAAATCAGGAATTTATCTCTTCGTCTTCTTGTAAGTATTGATTTTGTTTAATCAATACAATTCATTTCTTGTTACCCCCCCCAAAAAAAAAAAAGTATTTTACAGTTTTACTATTTATTCTTACTCTGAGATCTCAGTGTCATTTAATGAGAAATAGACAGCGATAAACATGAATATAGTAAAATACAATATATCCTTGGTTCAGGGAATTATATGTGCTATTTTGAAAATTTGCATTTACATTGTCCGATTCATCATTCATGTTTTATGTGTTGCCTGCTAAGACGTTGATGAAAATGTGAGGTTTAATACCTTCCTAAAATAATGAAGTCTGGCCTACTAGATAAGTCACCCAAATCATTATAATTTATAATATATTATGCGCTTTGAAATTTCAATTAGAATGTTGGTGTTATCTTCTATTCAAAACCTCATTTTTTTTTCCCACCACCTTCTGACAGATTTGCTACTTGCATTCGGACAAACTACTGCACCTTTTATTTAAAATAGATGGTCTAGTGTAGCTCATGATCTCTATTTTGTCTCTAATTTTTCCAACACATTGAACATCTGCATGTTCTTGATTTGTTGTGAGTTTTGTTTGCTTGCAATTCATTTGAGCCATCACCTCTGTTTGCATGTTCAGGGTGCTACTGATGCGGCCTCATTAGAGACACGCATAAAAGTGCCTAATGCAGAGGATCCTGAGCCTGTGATTAATCTCTATGTCGAAAACCAGACAGACCCTACTATGAGACTTGTATCTGAGATGATGATACTCTGTGGAGAAGTTATAGCAACTTATGGTTCCCGCAATAACATTCCTTTACCTTACAGAGGACAGCCACAATCAAATATTGACACATCTACATTTGCACATCTTCCAGAAGGACCTGTTAGAAGTGCTGCTATTGTTAGAATAATGCGTGCTGCTGAATTTGATTTCAGGAGTCCTATCCGCCATGGAGTTTTAGGGGTTCCTGGTTATGTTCAGTTTACATCGCCTATCCGTAGATATATTGATCTCCTTGCTCATTACCAGGTCAGTTCCCAAAAGTCTTGTGTGTTAACACAATCTATAAACTGCGGGTTGCTCAGATGTTGTAACCTTTTCCATTGCATGCCGTTTTCTTCTTTGTAATGTTTTGATGTTATTTCTTCCAATTACTGCTTTTGACACTTGCCCGAAAAGGAAATTGGAAAGAAAAAACAAAAAAGATAAGACACAACATTTTAGAGCTTCTTAAGTCATGATGGACTATGCTGTCATTGTGTGCCTTTGAGTAGCAAATTTGAACAATATGTGGTTCTGGTGAACATTAATAGCATAATTGCATGGTCTTGTGGAGTGTTATTGGCCACAGGCGTGGGAAATGCAAAAACTATGAAGTTGTGTTATGAGAATTGTGCCTTCTTTCAACGTCCTTTTTGTTATTTATTTCTTTTTTCACGAAGTTGTGTTGTTTTATTTTTTTTGCAGGTTAAGGCAATAATTAGAGGTGAATCTCCTCCCTTTTCAGCTGGTCAGCTGGAAGGAATTGCAGCTACAATTAACATGCAGACTAGAGTATCAAGGAAGCTCTGTAACAGCAGCCTTCGGTATTGGATTGTAGAATATCTCAGAAGGCAACCAAAAGAAAGAAAATTCCGGGCATTGGTTCTTAGGTTCATCAAGGATCGTAATGCAGCCTTACTGTTAATCGAGGTAAACTTATCATTGATTTATAGTCATTCATTGTTATTGTTGTTCTTAGTATGAGTATTAGTGACAACAAACAAATCAATGGGACAAAGCAGTGTAAGGTATTAGACAACTAATACAGATATTCAAGTCATGTTAATGTAGCACGAGATGTGGTCAGCAAACTCCATTATCTGCAGAGAGATTTGTACTGCCTGTTTCAGATGTTTAATATATCTGTATTGCCGCCTCATTTGGCCCGGTTTTCTTCTGTCCTATGATTAGAAATGTGTTACTACTTAGGAGTTAGGCCCTTTATTTTTAGCTTCACCTAAACAAGCATGTAATACATGTCTGTTGAGTTTGAAAGCACCTATTCTATTTCTTTTGACAGCAAAATTTAACTGTAGAAACAATGGGCAATTAGATAGTACTTTCTAAACCATAAGTGGCGAGGCAGAAACTGGTTATTTTAGAAGGACTTGTGTAGAGTTCTGAGTTTCCCCTTTTTTATTTTTATTTTTTTTTTCTCTTTCCTGGTGTCTTCATGGCATATAATTCTGTTTCCACTGCTCCTGATTATCACCTTTAAGCTTTGCAGGTGGGATTTCAAGTGTCTGCATGGGTGTCTACTGCACAGATTGGAGATGAAGTAGAGGTTCGGATAGAGGAAGCTCATCCGCGTGATGATGCAATCCATCTTAAGGAGGTTGTGAATTAAGGAGGTTGTTAATTGAGAAATACAAAGAGATTCTTATGGTCGGAACTTTGTGTCAAAGGAACTATGTTGTACTGGATTTGCAAGTCATTTCTTTTTTCTTCCCGCCACTGGCAAGTTATGCTTCTTCAGCTAGCGGGAGAATTCTCAGTTTTAACATGGCCTACATCGTTCTCGGGAAATGCGCGCCAATTCAAGTTCTGGATCCAAATACTTTGGAACACATGAATTTCATCCAAGTCAGAATCATTCTTGCTACACCAGTTGACTATGGTTGTCCAAACTGAGTAGCATAGCAGGTTCTTTGTTGAATCAGTTTTGAATATATGCCAAGTCTAACAAGCAAGATTTTCAATGAGGTTTCCGTTCAGTTATCTGACATCCGTACGTGACGACTGAGCAGACTATCAATATGTGACATCCAGTACGCGTGAGCATACCATTCATTGGAGTTTCTTGTATCGGTAATAATAGTATGTAAGTTATCTGATCAATTAGCTATTCAACGGTTTGTATACTAGAATAATGTTACAGATACAGAGTTGCTCCTGACCATATTTGATATTACATGCACATTTCTTATGTACTGATTAGTCTTTTGAGGGCGATGAATGTTTATAGCCGGGGCCTGTTTGGTACATGGGTTCAAATTAGAGTTCTTGATTATAGTTTTTGAAATTCAAATTTTTTGTGGGAGAAAAACACTGTAGCAGAACCTAAACTATGGATTTGCACTGCAGTAGAACCTATATACCAAACATCACCTTAATGACTCTCTGGACTACAAAAGAAAAATTTTGAGGATCAGCAAGAGATGCAAGGTTAAATTGTCCTAGCCATATCACATCAATATGGATTCAGTGAGCTAACAGGAAATGATATAAAAATTTGTATACGCGCATTGAATTGCTTCATTCTCTTTACGGGACTCTTCAGAAGATCCTTCTTCACGAGCAAATTGCTTCTGGGTAATTCTCGAGGATCTATCTTCACATGTTGTAAAGGTACTGCATTTGATGGTGCCAATTAATGGGAGTATGGTCACTCATGCACAACACCTGTGGGATGTGCTTTTGCAATCAATGTACTAGTTCGACTTCCCTTGACTACTGAATCCATGCATTGTTTTTTTGTCTCCAATTTATGAGGCTCTTGCCTCTTGTTGGCTATTTCGGAACACCGCGAGACGGGCGGTTAGGCAGGTAGTTATGGTTGTTGGGCCTCTTCTTAGGTTAGTAGCCACATGACTAATGAGAGATTTGCTAAATCCACTTAGGTGATGATAGTAATAGATTTCAAGTATGAAATGAACCTCACTTTTTGTTATTCCATGTTGTAGGGGGTCTTCTTAGGACAGGCAATAACATGTTTGGTAAGGGATGTGAGAAGAATGTGTCTGCTATTTGTATAGAAGTTTATTTGGAATAGCTTTTTGGTTGAAGAAGATATAAATATATAACTATATATATACACACACACACATTTATATATTGGAACTGAGATGGGCAATTTTTGGTTCTGCTTTGACTAATATGCCTTAGGCTAGTGGCTCTTCCAAATGATGAAAGTTTTTCTAGTTGCTCACTCAAATACACACGTTAAGACTAGTGAAAACTATTGTAAATTCACAATATGTCAAAAGTAACTTAAGTTTTGGTTAATAATAATAATAAATAAATAAATAAATAAATAACAGCAGCTTAGACTTATTTGACATGTGCTTTGTTTTACATCAAGTCACAATCAGAAAATGTCATTAACACACACAATCTTCAAAAAGCATGTACTATAACTCTCGCTGATAAATCACATCTGAAAATGACCAATGATTAAGGATGGCGGTCCAATAAAACCACGTTTCAGGATTTCTTAGACGAAAGTGTATGAAAGCTGCTTCTTCTTTCAGACAATCTCACTCCCATTTTAGCATCTTAAACTCGCTTACTCATGTGTTTTCTTAATTTGGCTCATTCTGTACTCATTTTAGTCTTTTTTTCAAAATACAGCTGGACTTGATTTGAACTTTTAAGGCCCTATTCATTTTACCGATTCGAGTTTTACTATAGTAAAAAGCTTCTATAAACAGTCACATTAAACTTTTTTGCTACAGTAAAAATCTCTCACATCTCATCTCGAATTAAAAACTCGAATCAACGAACTAAACGGGCCCTAAAGAAACAAAAAAAACAAAAAAAAAAGTCTCCTAACTACACATGACCTGACAAGTAACAACTATGCATAGTGCTGAAACTTTGGACGGGCCGCCCGTGACCACCGAAAAGTCTGAATTTTTGCCCGATGACCGAACCCGAAATGGCCAAAAATTTGGGCTGCCCGACCCGACCCGAAAATTGCCCATGGACGGACTTCGGACAGAGGATGCCTGCCCGTGCCCGGTCGGGCTGCCCGATGCCCGACTGGCTGCCCGAATTTTTTTTTTATATTATATTTTTATGTTGTATAATAAGTAATAAGTATTTGTAATAATTTGTATAATTACAATGTGTATATTACAATTTGAAATTTGAAATGAACACACGAACTATATAAAAAAAATTACTTCTTCATTGATTTTTAAATTTGTAATTACGATTGCCTCGTTAAAAACCTTACCAAGAAAAACCCAATTGGGATAAAAACTTGGTAAGGAAAAAAGAGTGCAATCATTGTGGGATGAATTACAAATTTGACGAACTTACAAAGTCTATACAAGATTACAAATTACAATAAACACTATACAAATTAGAAATTATAAAGTAAATAAATATTTACAAATTAGAATAATAAAATTTAATTTGAAGTAGAAGGATCGTCTTGAAAATTAAAAGTTAATCTATTAAATTCGTCGATCCATTCTTGGTTTACCGGTGAGATTGTATCGTGTAAGCGTTGGTCGGAACGGTCTCAATCCTTGATGCACACCAAAACTTCAACAATATCCTGCTGCAATGCGTTTCTCCGTTCTTCAAGTATTCGGCCGGTTGTACTGAATGCTTGTTCGGCTGCAACAGTGGAGACCGGGATCGAAAAAATATCCATTGCTAGTCGTGTTAGGATCGGCCAAGTTAATACTCGTGCCCTCCACCACTCAACCAAATCAAACATTTCACTACTGTCTATAACTAAGCCCTCACTCAGGTACGCCAGTAACTCGTTGAATCCGCCGCCACCTCTTGATGAAGATCCACTTCCACTCCCAGATTCTTCTTGACCTTGACACATCGTCGTCTTCTTCTTCTTCTTCTTCTTAGACAACCCGAAAACATTCAAGAATGAATGCAGATTGTCGTCTCGTTGTTGCGGTTGGTCAACACGAGGTGTGTTTCTAAACCTACTTTCGTAAGAGATATATAGAGAATATATTTTTTCCTTTATAATAGGAAACTGGTCAGTAGTGTCTATAGCTAAAAATTCACCTAAGTTATCTAATCCACTTTCTAAACCTTCTAATTTTAATCTAGGGTCAAAAAAAACACCGAAACCATACAACATGGGTAATTTAGACCAATATTTTTTAAACTTCTTTTCCATAGAGGCGATAGGAACTCCTAAAACCTCATGTGTCCTAAATTCACTAAATAAAATAGACATTCTTAAAAGTTCTCCTAATGCTAATGGTGAAGTTGGGTAATAATTGTTGAGAATGGTGTCCTAGAAGCATGAAATGTAATAGGATATTTATTATTTATTTAATAAAATAGTTTATTCATTATTTTATGTGCATATATTTATGAATAGAGTTCCATCTTATGGGCATATCTAAGGCTAATGCTCTAGGATTTTGATTACATGCTTGTAGAAATCTAAACCAATCTTGTATTCTTTGATTACTACCTTGAATCCAAGCAATGTTATCTCTAATTCCTTTAATATGACCTGACATTGATTTTAAACCGGACTTTACTATTAAATTAATTATATGACATGCACAACGTTGGTGAAAAATATCATTATTACTAAATAAACTTAAATCATTTTCAAAAAGTTCTATTGCTTTAGTATTCGCAGTTGCATTATCTAATGTTATGGCCATTATTCTATCTCTTAAATTATATTCATCAATAACAGATAAAATTGTGTTATATATTAAATTGGCAGTATGTGATCCTATAACACATTTGAAACTTAAAATTCTCTTATCCAAATCAAAACCTTTATAATAATGTCCGGTTACAGCTAAATAATCCTT